ACACTGAGCACCTGTAGCACAGGTCCAGCACCAGCTCTTTTCCTCCCTTTACTAAATCAAGTCAAGGCCATGTTAGTTTTCAATGGGAACACCTCTGCCCCCTCACACTGCTCAGTCAGTGCAGTTTGAAAACAGCTGTTTCTCCAGTCATTTTCCTGTAGCTCATTTCTTTCTGTCAGACTCCACTGCTCTGGTCACTGAAGTTTCTGTTTCTTCAGCTGTAGGATGAGCAAGGCAGCTCTAATCTGTCCCCTGCCCTCACCAGAAGACACAGGAAATCCAATCAAAAGTTTTCTGGTTGTAACTACTCCCTCCAGTTTTATCTCATCACAGTCCTTTAAAACCCCAAGGACTTTTTTGAACACACAGTGTCTCAGCCTTCATCAGCAGAACCACACTGCAGGTCTGTGCACTGCTCTCTGCCCACCCTCACACCCCTTCTAACACCCAGCAGTTCACTTTGCAGTATCACCCCAAAAACACTGAATAAAAATGGACACAATTATTTGGCTTCAAGCTGGACTGCCACATTCAGCCGCTTTGATTTATTTTTCTAAGTCTTCATTATTCCAAATTATTCTCATTACACTCACTCTTGCTGGTGACTTCACATCATTCCCCTTTTATCTGTACAGCCACAGCAAAAAAAGCATTTTTAACTAAACTGGTTTAATTTTAATATCCTGCTGAACCCAGCTATTTGTCCAAAATCAATTCTGCAAGTTTCTCCCAAGGCTTTCCACTAGAACACTGCACATGCACATGTTTTAGAACAACATACAGAAAAATGCCTTTCCCTTGGAAAAGGCACCACCTCAAAGTTTCTAGTGCAAGGGGAAAGGGGAAGCAACCCTTACAGATGTCAGCTGTGTACCAGAGCTCTTTGATGCATCAGATAATGAATTAAACCAACACCACAGAATAAGAGCCTCACCAGGCCTCCTCCCTCTGCAATCAAGTATTAGTGCAATGAATTCCACAGCAAAGCCTTGACATTTTCTAGTCAAATGACTACAACATTGCTATCAGACAGTAAAAAGAGCATTCCCTAAGAATTGTGGAACCACAGAATGAGGTTGAATAATTACACAAGGCAGGTAAGTGACACTTCACACCTGAACACCCTGCATGGCCATGGGCAAAGCATGATCAGCTTGGCAGAATCCCTTCAAGTCCCTCCTGGCAGGGAGCTACCTCAAGTGTGCACTCTCTGAATTCAAGTCTGGATTCTTCTCAGTAATAGCAAAATAAATTTTACTTGCCATTGACTCAAGGGATTCATCCCTTGAAATAACTCTGGACAGAATTATTTCTCATAACTCTCAGCTGTCAGAGCTGTCCAGCCACTAAGCAACTTAAACCACTGTCACTTTCAAGCTCCTTTTCACTTGGAAATTGGTTTTGCTTTGTTTTATTTCACCAACCAGGCAGCCTACTGACCTCCAACCCTTCAACTACACTCCCCATCTATCTCTGCAGACAACAGAGAGAATTTATTCTTCCTGCTGCCATGGACTGGGCACAGACTCCTCAACACCAAGGAGCTGGGAGAACCAAACTCATCAAGCAGAAGGGCTGCAAACAAAGTGCTTCTGGAAAATGGGCTCAGCTTCCCCACAGAGCAATGACAGAAATGCATTCTCACCAGGCACAACGATCACTGAACACTTCAGACTGCTTGAGTACCATGCAAAACAAGCCCACCAGGGTAACACTGCACAACTGAGATCCAGGTTCCCTCTGCAAGACTTTCCTTTATAAAGCATGTAACACTGAAATTCATGGGCAATGTTTCTCCAGGCAGCTCCTCTGTGCAGAAAATCATGCCAGTGACAGTGTGTCAACAAGAGCAGCTCCAGTTCCCCCCTGCACAGTCCACCTCAGCAGCTGCCCTGCTGTGTTCTCACCACCAAGGTCAGCCCACCACCCTCCATGGGCAACTGCACCTCCCTGGCTCTGTCCCACCTCACACTGAGCAGATGTGGATGCAAATCCCACAGGTAAATTCCATGGCTGGGTTTCCTCTGCTCTGAACAGCTCAGCCATTAGTCAGGACAGTCCATGGTGTCAGCTCTCCACAGGTCCTTCCAGCAATAGCCAAATGAGCAGGGCAGAACACAATTTAAAGCCCATCTGGCTACTGGAACATCCCAATTTAGGTGTGTTAAAGCTCCTGGAACTCAAGAGGTGAAGACACTCTTAAAAAGCAGCTGATCCTCATCTTCCAAAACACAAACCCCAAATCACTGACCTGGTCTGCAAAGCCTGACAGGTCTAACACCCACCACTCCAGCCACTCCCCTGACACAGGGCACCAACCACTACACATCCTGCTGCTTAAGTCTAGCTGGAATTCCCAACAAACTTGCTCCAGTAAAGCACTCATCCATGGGGCATTTCAGAGTGAGGAAAAGCAGCTGAGGAGCCATGGAATCTCCAGCTGAATTCACAGGAGGGAGATAAATGGCACTTCTATTTCCAAAGTAATGAGCTCCTCAGAAGAAACAGCTGGTGTGTTCTGATCCAACTGCTGGTTGGTGCAGTTACTGCCCTCCAAAAGGAACCAATTTAGAATCCATCTAGGAGTAAAGGTCCATTTCTAAGCAGGCACAGAGACTGCACCAACAAAGTGTTTGTTGCAGCACCAAGAAGGTGCTGAGATGGTTGCTCTGCATGCCAGGCTGTCAGGACAGCAGATGACACTCAGCTCTGCAGCCTGGCTGGAGTCACACCAGAGAGCAGCTGGATAAAGCAGGGAAGCATCAATCCCTGGCCATCATGAGGTCACAGCAAAGGCAGCAGTGCATCCCACCTGCTCTGTCCTGGGGAATGACAAACACTGTGCCAGGGCTTTCCAGGGAAAGTGATTGTCCCCTCCTGGAGAGCAGGCCATGGGCTCTGGCAGACAGTGCTGTGCTCCTGGCCCAGCCCAGTTTCTGAGTGGAAAAGTAACCATTTGTCAGCACAGGTTTGACTGAGCCTGGTAGGCTGAGAGACACCTCTGCCAGCACAATGGGAGCTCTGGACATGCCAGGCTGCTGAGGAATTCTTCATTCCATTCTGAAGGGTTTATCCAGCTGTCCTGCCTGGCAGCCTCCACATCAAGGTTCACTGCTACTTCCATCTCTGCTCCTTACAGGAGTCAGGTTTTTTCCTAATTTTGGGGAATATTCTCCTACACAATCACTGGTTTTGAGTTTCAGGCCCCAAACCCTTGAAACTTGAGATGGGTAATTGTTAAAGCTTTATCAGTACTGACAGATGTTAAGCTTGCAGCATTCAGCACTGGAAACACCACTGAGCAACAGGTTCAAATGCCTGGCTCCTCACTATGAACAGGCAAGATGCAGCCAAATAAATGAAAGGAACTCTGGCCTCTGCTTGAGTTAAATCCTATTTTTTAACCACAACCCCATTTCCAGCTCCTCCAGCCATCTTCCCCAGCCTTACAGGAAGTGTATGTTTAAATCTGAGCAGCTTAAACTTCTGCCTTTAAAGCAACTTGCATTCCTGCTAAGGCAGTTCAACAATTTCTGGTGACAAAAGAAGAAAAGTTAAGCATTGCCCAGTGTATCCCAGACTGGTTGAGGCTGGAAGGGACCTCTGGAGACCATCTTGTCTCAAGCAGAGCCACCTAGGACAGGCTGTCCATGACAATGCCCAGGGGCTTTGCAGTATCTCTGAGGTGGGACAGCCCACAGCCTCCCAAGGCCAGCTGTGCTGGTGCTCAGCATCCTCACAGTAAAACTACAACATCAAATGTTTCCTGCTGTTCAGAGACCTTCCTGTGCTTCAGCTTGGGCCCACTGTCTCTTGTCCTGTCACTGGGCACCACTGAGAAGAGTCTGGCTCTGTCATCTCCACATCCTCCCTTCAAGTATTTCCAGACACTGGTAAGATCCCCCTGAAGCTCCTCTTCTCCAGGCTGAGCAGTCCCAGCTCTCAGCCTGTCCTCACAAGGGGAGATGCTCCAGTCCCTCCATGGCAATCCTGGCCCCTCACTGGGCTCTCTCCAGTACATCCACCCTGGACAATGCTCCAGGCACAGCTTCAGCAGCACCAACAGAGGGACAGGATCTCCTAGCACAGCCCTCTCTGCAGCAAGGACAGCTCCTGGGAAGCTGCACAAGTGGCTCAGTTAGAGTTCTGAGAGTTGAAACATAAAAGTGGGCATTTCCCTCAGAACCCTCACCCAGCACAGCTGGAGATTGACCCATGCTCTGTGACAAAGCCACCCCCAGTTATGTGGGTAAAGCTGCAATGGGCAAACTAAAAGCCAAGATAACCAGAACCCAACTCCCTGATTTTGAAAATGACACTGTGCATGTCCAATTCAATCTCCCAGTACTATTACTTCCAACGAGTCTTAGTGAAGTGATTCATGAAGAGCCACATCACAGAAATGCTCACTGCAGCAGGCATGGAGGTCTGGACAGTGGAAGCTGAAGTCCTGCATGAATGAGGGTGAGGTTTCTCACTGCAGGGCCCTCAGCACACTCACAAAGGCTCCGTGATTTATTCCTTACAAAACATGGGCAGAACTTTTGCTACAGAACATAGGGATGAGACTGCAGATTAGTCCAACCTTTACTGCACAAGTGCTTTAGTTCAGGATTAACTCTTGCACAGTCACTTGCCAAATTCAAGAGAAAGAGTGTTTCCCCCCAAAATGGCTGAGAACAGCTGTAATAATGTTAAAGCACTTCATATTCTCCTGTTTCAGGCAATAGGGATTCTTATTTATGCAGACTTGGAGATAACGTTTTTAATTTAAGCCTACACATTCTGCTTGAGCATTGGAGTTCAAATTACCCACCATGGTGTGGTTAAGAAGGTATTTTGAGGTTATTTATTCTCCAGTATGTATTCTTGAGGGAACATTGAGTTCAGAATTACTAATATAAGCAAGGTAGCTGTTGTACTGAGACAGTCACTGCTGTTCTCCCAAGTTTTAACAAAACTGTAGGAGGGACAGAACAAAACCCCAAAATGCCAATCACTTCCATCATAACCACAATTTTTATTAAACTGCTTACAGAGGGCTGGCTCCAGAGTGTGAGGAGCCAAGACCCCAACCTTTACCACTGAACTGGAATGATTAAGTAGCACTGCTATGATTTTTCAGTCTTTCCACCAGAAAGTGGCACTTTTAACCCACAGCAAGTCAGTGCACATCCCTTCCCCTCTCTCCTTGCAGGTTAAGGTGAAAAACATCTTCATGTAGCACACATTACCAGTGAGCTGCTGACAGTGCTGCCTCCCAGCTGCCTCAGGAGGAAGCTGTGCATGATAAGCTCTTTCCTACAAAGACTGTTTCTACTCTTCCCAGATTTCTCAATCAGTAGGAAGTACATTTTTTCATAGCTGTGCTCTCTGCTTACAGATTTTAAATTCAAACAGCTTGCTCCCAGTAGCATCCAATTTAAAGAGTGGCACAATTGGGGAAATGCTCTCAGAAATCTACACTACAAATAATAAATTGATGCTTTGGAAGAGGTATGAGCTTAATGTTGAATGTTCTAAGTCTTATTATTCACCTCAAATTACCTAAATCCAACAATTTTTCCTGCTAACAACACATTCATTCTTTGATAAGGCTGATCAGTTACTAGAAAGCTGAAACACCCCTGAAGTCTGTCACAACACACTCTAATCTGACTGAACACAAGATTTCAACCCCAAAAGACCCAAATTGCCTTTGTGGACTTTATTTCCATTTGTTCAAGATGGGAACAGTTCTCCTAAGTATCAGCTCTCTGCTTCTGAAGTCTGCCTTTTGACAGCACATCCCCGTGATTCTGAGACAAGTATTCCTATAAAGCCACCCCTAGGAACTGGCTTTGTTGTTTTAATTCCTTCAGTAAATGCAGCCCAAGGGAGCTGGGAGAAGATTTTCTCCCAGGTTAGAGCAGTGTGGTTGTTGTGCTGGGTGCAGCAGTGAGAAGTGATCAGCACTCAGAGCCCCCTAAACCCAGGAGGGAGGGAGAGGGGCACTGGAAGGGGCAGGGGCACAGGAACAGCCACCCTGATCCCATGGCTTATTCCAGCTGAGCCACAAGGATATAGTTTGAAAAGGATAAGAAAAAAAAAGAGTTCAAAGCAGAAGACAGAGGGAGATTGAAATGTTAAAGCATATTGCAAATGTATTTGGGCAGTAAAATTAACACTAGGATGTATTTTCTGAGTGATTAAAGCTGACAGCCTGGAGCAGCCTCTTAAATTCTTGCCCCATCTTCTCCCAATTGTCCTAATTCCAATCTATCTTCCAGTATTTTCAATCATGCTGTCTATCACCCCACCACCCATCTGGTCACTTCAGATTCCCTAAAACAATACAGCATTTTCTGCAGTTAAGCAGCAATTAAATCAAACCAGACCAGACATCAGTGCTTGGGGCTAATTTGGTGCTTCTGAGAGCAGCCAGTACTGACTGAGAGTACTTGTAAGGAAACTGCAGCAACCTGACAATCATTTTTTCTTCACTGACACCATTTTTTCAGTTCTTTCAAGACTTTGAGCCTTGTGCCCAAGCAGATTCACTTCTGACAAGAAACAAGGAGATACTGGTTTGGCTTTCCATCTGCTTCTGCAAATGCCTTTAGGTGGCCAGAGAAGGTGGGAACTTCTGTGGGTTCAGGGAAAGGCACACAGTGCTGATGTCCAAGGGATGTACCAGGATCACCTGTCTGAACCACAAAGTGCTGGGAACATCACATGTAGCTGGAGAGAAGGACAGGCAACAGGAGAGCAGGGACACTGTGAAGGACAATGTAATCAATGTGACAACTGCAGCATTTGATTACAAGGACAATGTGAAGCTGCAGAACAGAAGGGTCAAGACATGATCATGCACAGGGTAGACTCCAAATATTCCTCAATAGCCACAGCTACACCTACAAGCTTGATCTACAGTTTGTAAACCTACAGTTTCAATAACAAAAAAAAAATCCAGCCTGTGTCTCCTTTCTAGATGTTTAAAGCCTCCTATTTATATTAAATATAAATACTGCTTTACTAGGCAAAGGCTAAATTCCAGTGCCCCACAAGCTAACACAGTTCACAGGGACCAAGATGCTATTAGCTAATTATTTTGGATTGTTCAAGCTAGGCAAGTTTTAATCATGTTTCAGTAGTCCACACTGGAAGTTCTGTTAAAAAATTACCAACATGGAGTTCTGATGCTCCCTTGAAAGAGAAATTCTTTTTAATATGACAAATAATTAGCAACTTCACTGGTTTTTTAAAAGCCACAGCTGCTCCCTTACATAATTTACTCTGGGCATATCTTGAACATTAAAATCTTCCACTGTCACACACTAGGTTTTATTTTATATTTTAGCTGAAGTGTTCTGAGGTGAGGTGGCAGGAGTATGTACTCAGTGTAGTAAAACTTATCTGATCCACTGGCAAAGCTGAGGAGTCTCCCCATGGCCACAGGGAGGCTGGATGTCCTGAGCATGCCATGCTCAGGAATTGGCTGCAAGCTCCATGGAGAGTCACAGGACAGAAGCAGTGCCCACAGAAATGGTGGATTCCAGCAGGAATGCAGCAGTTTTTACATCCCAAATCAGTACTTCCTTTTAGCAGAGTAAAATGAAATAAGCATTGGAGGTACCTTTTGAAATAGTTAGTGCTGGGGACCACTGTGATCGTAGAATATCAAGACAAATGCTGCCATTACTGTTAATATTTGGATGATAGATTCTTGTTGTAAATGCAACCTGCAGAAGAAGGAAAATTTCAGTGTAGGCTCACAAATATGCATCACACCACATGGGAAAGGACAGATTTATGGCAGAAGCCACTCACCTTAGGTGGTTTGAAGGGATAATCTGTCGGGAAGTGAATTGTCAAGAAAAATACTCCACCTTGATAGGGACTGTCGTTCTGTTAATGAAAAAGAATCATTGCAGCTTGAGGAGTTGCTACAAGATCACCAGTCAAAAAAGCCATGAACATCAATTCTCTCATACTTACTGGTCCCATTATTGTAGCTTGCCAATGGAACACTGAAAAAGAGAGAGATTTACTTCAGTTTGGAGAAGCTCAAGTAATGATCTACTTTCTTCCAGACAAAGCAGCACAGAAAAGAAAAGTCTATTTTAAAAACAAAGCCTTGTGAAATGCTGCAGGGAAGTGAGCCAAGGAATTAAAGAGAGACAGAGTGAAGCACTCCATACTCTGCAGTCCTCACTCCAGGACTGCTGTGGTACCACACACATGTCCTGCAAAAATCCCATGACAATAAAAATCTACAATTTTTCAGGCTCAAAACTGTGAGTTTACACTTTGCAATTTCTAATGAATCAGCACCCATGACTGCCCTCTTCAAGCCAGCTACAGCAAAGCTCCAGGATGAACTCACAGCTGCTCTCCTACTCAGACCTGTGACACATGGAAGAGAAATCCAGGCTCTGTGTGAACCAAACCAGTGCTGTCCTCACAACATTGAAGCATCATCTCCACAGAGGCCTCAAGATTCCACTAAAGCAGCAGAAAGAACTGTCCTAAGAAAATGCAAGAATGATAGTCTGCCCCATACTTGGAGCAGGATGTGCCAGGACACATTTCAGGTTAATCCTCACAGGTATGCATCTGCCCAAGAGAACTTTCACCTGGTAACACAGAGGATCTGTGAAGAATGTTGCTGTGCTGGAAAGGAAAACAGTCAAAGCTGATCAATCTATGGGAGGCACACTGGGGAGCTCTCAGGGTTCCTGTGTCTCCACAGGCTTCAGTGCAAAGAGCACCAGCCAAGGAAATTATTTGTGAATTAAGACTATGGAAGCTTCCCTCAGCACGGATGTCACCTTCACAGCACCTTCAGAACTGGGGAGTTGTAGATGATGGCAGCAAAGAAGGAAGTCTCCAAGAGAGGAGCTGAAGCCACGTGGAAGGGGCTGTGCCTCACTGGCACCTGGTGCCCCCAGCTGTCAGGACTGCCAAAAGCAGGAGTGGTACTACCTGTTCTCATCTAGCACAAACAGCTTTTAATTACACATGGTACAGGCACTACAGCTCAGAATGATCTCATACAAGGAAGGAGGAAAAAAGCAGAGTGGGAGTAGCTCTGCAAGGCCAGGGGAGAAGACTGTTGGGTTGGAACAGGTTTGTTTTAATCTACTCCTACATTTCTACAGGAATGTGTAACTTTCTATACACTTCAGCACTGCTGAGTAGCTCAGAAATGATTCAGAAAGACCTTAGCAGCTCATTTTTTCCTTTTAAAAAGGATACCTGAGCTTAGAGTTCTCAGCTCTAACAGAGAGAGAGGATTTCACTACTTAAATATTCACTCTCTCAGGAGCCTGGCTTTGAGAAACTCTGCATCCAATGAAGAATTAGGAAACCAAGACAGCAGCTCACATATAGCATTCACCCATCTTCAAGGGGTTCAGTTTCCCAGGAGCTCCCTGTCACCTGCAGCAGGACAGGGAGAAACATGGAGGACAAAGGGGCAGCAGAAATCCCACAGGAGATTGTAGCCAATCCAAACAAAAGCAGTAAAAATCTCACAGATCCTGATGAGATTCACTGTGCTTGCTCTGCAGAGTCACCACTGAAAAGAGAACCTCAACAAACTATTTTCTTAAACCCAACAAAACCCCAGAAATAAAAACATATCCACAGGCAATCTCAACTTTTGGAAAGCTAGAAGGGAGGTTTGTGTTTCTTCCCACTCAATGCCCACCCCAGACCTGGCTGCTTGCTTAACCTAAGCTTTAAATCCTGGTAACATCCAGGACAAGTCTGGTGAATGCAGAGATGGATTTGTCATGCAGAACTTATTCCAACTGATTCTTTCCTTTGCAATCAAGCAAACAGAGGTGTTTACAGAGGCAGGGGCTGTTGGCTTTCAGTAGGTAAGCACAGGTACATGTTGGAAAAGGCTAAGCCACTGGAAGCACACCAACATCATCCAGTCCCCAGCACATTTCCAAAACACAGGCCAGAGGTGGGTGGAAGAAAGCTCAAACTACATTGCCAAGAAAACCCCACTCCTGTAGTTCACAAGGCAGAACAGCCCTTCACTTTGTGAGGTCCATGAAGCCCAGGGATGAGAAGCTTCCAGCTGGGGACAGTTTATATCAGCTGGAAGAGCCACAGGAGAGCACTCTGCAAGCACAGCATGTCCTGAACTCTGGGAAATGTCGTCCTGACAAGGCAGCTGCAGCAGACCTGGAGCACAGGGACCTGGGAGAAGGCACCTTTCTCTTGCTGCCACTGCTATCCACTTACACACATCCAAATTGTGGCTCTCAAGAACAAAAGGCTTTCATTAGAGGTCTTTCAGAAAGGTGGCACCAGGAGAACTGAATAGTACTTTAAAGCTTTCTGTATCAGGAGTAACTTTCCATTCTCAGCCTTCACCAACTTCAGTTACCACCTCCTCTGCCAGACAATCGTCATCACCTTTGATAAGGCTTTGGAAAACACTAAGTGGTTTATCATGGCACAAATCACACTTTCTAATTTAAGGGAATAAAAGCCTCTGACTGGCTCCCCATCTTAGTAATTTCTTGTCTAGGAAACTACAAACCTCTTTGAAATACTATTTGGAAAGCAGAAATAGGTTGTGAAGTAACTACTGCTAAACACCCTCAAAACCAAGCTGGGCTTCCACTCATTTGAAAGAGCTGCTGAACAGGAACATTCCCACTAATTTCAGTATTTTCACCCTCAGGTTTCAAGTGCTTTTTTTTAAATGTAGCCCTACATTTCTACAGGAATGTGTAACTTTCTGCACACTTCAGCACTGCTGAGTAGCTCAGAAATGATTCAGAAAGATCTTGGCATCATTTTTTCATTTTAGAAAGGATACCTGAGAGCTCTCAGCACAGAGAAGGAGGGTTTCCCTGCTTCCCTCTCCCCTCTCTCAGGAGCATGGATGCTTTGCTGGCATCACTTGTCAGACCACACTGCACAGGAAATTCAGTGTGTGCTGTTTAGGGGGACTGCAGTCACAGCTGCCAAGGGTTCTCTAGGAGCCTTTTCCACTGTCAGAGCTGCTACAGAAAAGAATGTGAGCACAGAACAGAGCAACAACTCCCAGTCACACCCCAGGTGAACAGACCTGAACAGCAAGGCCAAGAAGATTGTCTGAGGCTGTCCCTTACACAGGACCTGGCAGGGCATGCTGATTTGAACCCAGTTTTCAGACACCATGTACAGTTAAGATATCTGAGTTCAGAAGGCTGTGGGCAGCTGCTTGTTGGTTTGACCACAGATCTCCTGAGGTTTCCTAACACCATTCCCCAGGAGAATTCCAGAACAGTTAATTGAAAAGGTGTAATTTAAGATGTGCATTGAGTTGCCCAATCAATAGAGTGGGAATAACACCACTGGCACACAAGGAAGATGTAAGAGATACAGAAGAGCAGCAAATTTAAGATCAGGAGGTGGAGTATTATCTAGTACTCTAAAAGAAACAGAAGGATTCTCCTTGCTGAGGAACTGGGCATCCCATTTCAGAAGGAAAAGGAAAAACATGGCAGAGGGCAGGTGCTTGCTGAGAGCAGATACTCACTGTCATCCCCGACAGGCCCTGCTGAACACTGTGCTGGAGGATCACGTGCCAGGTCGTTCAACTCCTAAAAAACAGGAAGAGTTTGTTTCACTTCATTTCAAAAACAACCATGTCATTGCTCAAAGGCTGCTAGGGGCACTCTGGCAGCACCACAGAACTAATAACCAGGACTCTGAAAAGTCAAGTTGCATCTTAAACCCAGGAGACACAGCTGGCAGAGGCCTCAGTGACCTGTCCAGCTCCAGAGCCCCAAGTACAGCAATCCCCAGGTCACAGGGGCTGCCAGCTCTGCCTGCACTGGCCCAAACCATGACCAGGTACTGCATCTTCCACCAGCCCTGGGTCACTGAGAGATAAGATGGCCTCAAGCCAAAAACTCTCAGTATCAGCCTTTTTTATTCCCTCAGCTGTAACAGTGGCAGTGCTGCTCCAGTGATCCAGTTTATCAGCTCCACAGCCAGCCTGCAGCACACACAGCTCCCATACCCTGGGGCTGTTTCACCTCCACACGTACACATCAGTGACCGTGGCTGGAGTGGAATAAAACACAAGGCCTGCCATGCCCACACACCTCACTGAAATCCCCCACTTTTCAGTGCCTGTGTCAGTCAAATTCTCCTCTGAAGAAATCCTATTATGAGTCTGAACAGGGTGAGTAACTCACACTACAGCTAAACTATGTTATTTTGCTTCAGTTTGAAGCAAAATTTCAGCACAGTTCAGAGAGTTACTGTTACCAGTAATTCACACCAGCCATTTGCTCAGGAAGTGGATGTTTGGTGGAAAGTGCAAACAGAGTAAAACTTTGAAGTCAAACTTTACCTGCTCCATTTCTGGCTCAGTCACTGACCTGCTTTGCATGATAGGCCTGAACATATCACCATTTTTCTCTGTGATCTCAGTCTAGAAAGCTGAACACACACCAGATAAGGATTACAACTATTATCTAGTGCTCAGGAAACACTCCCATGCTGTCCCTGGTCCTTTTGTGTTCAGCTTTTCACCTCTCAGAACAGTCCAAACTGGAGTCTCCACACCAGGCTTTTGGCAGACAAAACACATAAGTACAATGATTAAGACAAGCTGATTGCAGGAATGGAAGAAAATTTGCCATTTAATGGCCTTTTGTTATTCACAGGCAGTGATTAAGCTTTTGAACAGATGATCTCTGGCAGTTCCAGCTTCTACTTCCCAGGAACTGGGAGGCCACCACTAACCAAACCCACAAGACACAAATGTTGCCTCACATCAAACACCTGAATCTCTGGAGTTCCCCCTCCAGATGCAGAGCCCCAGAAAACCTCACAGCTCCTGACACACACACATGTTTGGGGTTTGCCCTCAGCAGCTTCCAGCTTCTAAAGAGCCCTGCTGGAAGCCTCCTTGACTTGAACCAGACTATGGAAGCTTTTCTAGTGCTCCTGCTGGGCTTTTTCCACTTGGTGTTCAGTATGGACGTGGACAGGAACAGACACTGAGCATGCAGCACCTGCTGAAGAGTCTTCTCCCTCCTGGAGGGGGAGAGAGCCTCACCAAGTGTCCTCCAAAGACACAAAGCCCTTTGGAGTGGTTCCAGCACCCTGAACCACCAGGGCAGCACAGGAGGGTGCAGAAACCTACACACACCTTCCTCAGGGGCTGTCTAGTCATGGCCACCAAGAATGAACTGAGTCCACACACAACAGGCAGGAAACTTTTAAAAGAGCAATGACAGCAATGTACCTACTCTTTCTAAAGGTGTTGGAGTACAGTCCACTTCCAAACAATACTGGACTCTGATTTTCTGGAAAAAAATATTTAATGCTATTGTATTCAAAACCCAAAATACACAATTAAAAAAAATACTCCTTGCCACTTCTCATCCCATTTTATGCACCAATACTACACATCCACATGACCCAGAAGGTACAGCTGTAAGAATCCATGTTTTCCATGCATGACCACAACCTACCATGGATATTTATGAACACACAACATGCACCTTCCCTGCTATAAAAGGGAAATAGTTACAAATTGGGCACACACTTTACCAGTTACTAGAATACACAGCTCCAGAGCTGCCCTGACACTCCCCCTACACCCTGCTGCCCAAATGCACCAACCACTTCAAACTGCACATAAGAGGGACCACAAGGTAAATCCCCAAGGCCACAGAGGCAGCAGTGAAGGTCAGGTGGTAGCAGTTTCTCATCAAAATACTATTTCATTCTCTACACATTGCGTTCCAGAGAGATTTCTGAGTTTTCTGAAGCCCTGGGTATTTATCTCACTAGAAAGCGATGACTTACAACAACCACTTGTACCACTTGTCTCAGTGACAAGGTGGCATTTCAGGTTCTGCTCCATAAATTCATGGAGTGAAACATCACAGATTAAAAGGTTTATGTAAAAACCAGTGTGTAAGTTCCTTCTGCTTAAAGTATTGCACCAACTCTCAATACAAGCCCCTGCAGCACAAAACTTCCCAAATTTTGTAGAACAGCTTGGAGAACGAGTTCAGCTCCTCCCCTTCACCCCTCAAGACTCCTCTGGAGTGCAGGCACCAGCTGCTTCTGCCTACAGGAGAGGCAAACACAGCCCTGGATTTCCTGGCAGGGCACAGATCAGCCCTTGAACATGCCCTGCCATGGCCTTCCAGCTGCTCCAAGACTCCCTGTACACCTGCAGAGCCAAGTTCAGGAGCAGGAAAGGAGCAGCTCATGACTGGTAGCACAGAGAGGAGCATCCCCCGCTGCTGCACAGAGCCAGGCACCTGTGCCAGAGGCTGCTCTGCCTTCTGCAGGCTCCTGTGCAGCTCCTGAGGTATCAGGAGCATGACACCAGACCCAGCAAGGTCCTGGCTTCCAGCTGCTGCTGAGGGACTCTGAGAACCAGCTGGTTTCTGTGACTCAGAACAAATGACCCTGGAGTTCCATAAAACTGGAACTCATAACACATGGAGGATTCAGTTACAGGCTGGTATCATCTCCAACCTGATGTACTGGATCCCAAGTTGCCAAGCCCACTGTTTTTTCCTGTGATCCAGGAAGTCCTGCTGGTCCATGAAAAAGACTGACCTTGACCACACTGATAGAAAGCCAAAACCTGAAGAAAGCCATAGCAGTTTCCACTCCAGACAGTTTTTGATCCTTAAGTACATGCAGGTTTTGCTTCAGGAATTTACAAGCAGCCTTTAGATCAAGTTCCAGGCTGAGTTACTCAGCTCCCAGGGCTGCCTCACCCTGAGCTGGCTTTCCAGCTGAAGGCATCTTACAGAACTTTAAGTTTCTGTCATCTCCCCTAAGGAAAATATCCCTGGGGCTGGGCCCACTGCTGTGGATCCTACCATTAACCTGACCCATCTCACAACTCTTAATGAGTCCCTTAGCAAAAATGAGGAAGTGGAAGAACATCACAAAGCAAGGTTCAAGGTGTCCTGCCTAAAGGCCAAGCTGAACAAAACTACTACCATTAAATCCACACAGGAGAGACCCTAAAAGCTACAAAAATCTCACAAGAAACTGATATTTAGGCTCCAAAACCCAATTTAATCATGATCTTAAGTTCCCAACAAACCAATCCCCACAAAGGGGTTCCAGGAAAGCATTTTAAGGTAGATGGAATGTGCTTTTACCACAGATCCCCCAGCTGTGCTTCCCAAGTCATGACAGACACCAGCTGCCACGAGGCCTCGAGGCTCACAGGTAAAGCAGCAGCACCAGCCCTGCTCAGCCCCACACACCCTGAGCCCTACCCTGCTTCTGTTCTGCTTCCAGGAGTGGTACAGTGCCTTTAGAACATACCTCAATGAAGGCATCCACCAACTGCACAAAAAGCTTTCAAAAAACTCAAACACAAATGGTTTAAGTCTTATAAGTTTAACCCTGCACACGTTTCAAGTTATAATTATCAACTCCAAAGACATTTGTCAGTAAAGTTCCAATTTACTCCTCTAGACAACAAATCCCTCCCCAGCCTAACACACTCCTGGTAAAACCTGCTCTGGCCAAAAGATAAGACTAGTTTTAAGGATTAATTTAATGCTAATACAGCCTTCAGTAAGAATAACCAACATAACTGGCAGCATCAAGAAGCCAATCAGGCAAGTAAGGAGCCAGCTTTTTTATTTTTTTTTACAAGCCAGCTCCAGCAATTTTTCTAAGCCTTGGGATACAGCAGAGCTCCTCAAATCCACTCCAACACACTATATGTACTCCTCTGGATTATCCAAAGTCCTCTTAGCTTGAACTCCACAGGCTTTCCACTCTGCTCCAGTCTGAGCTGCTTTCACATTGTACTTTACTGAGAGACCACATTAGCTTGATTATAAACCTAATTTCTGCCTCAGGTTGCTGCTGTAAGTGAAATAAGCTTTTCATTTGCCTTTAGCAAGTTTATTTGCCTGAAGCCCCTGAACCCTTCAGCAACAGGCAGTGTAGGGAGAGGTTACAAAATCCTGACTTATGTAACCAAAAAGGAACTCGTAGCCACTTTAGCCATGAATTGTTCCCAGCTCCCAACACAGTAAAGCAATGGGGAATGAGGGCCAAAGTCGAATTGATCACACCCTGCCTCACCTCAGGACCATGGCACAGAGGAGCTGCCAGATCCCTGTGCAGGGCCAGCAGGATGGGAAGAGCCATGCCCCTTCCCTGGGCCAGCAGCATCTCCCTGCCAGGTGCCAGAGCTGTACCAGAGGCATTTCCCCCAGCTCTGCTCTCCACCTGCCCAGCAGCACTGGGCAGGAGGCAGCGCCACCCACGTGCACCAAGGTCGGACCAACAATTCCCTACAGTGTCCACAGGTGCTCTCCCACCCACAGGGCTGTCATTCCAGAGCATCTGCCACTACAATTCACAGAAGCATTTTAATCCTTTTGACAAAAACTGCTTTTGCAATGCTTGAAGCTGCTCAGATCCCCCAACTCTGACTCTTCACAAGACTCTGCAAAAGTCAGAAGGCAAGTGAGCAGCATGAGAAATCATGAAACACAGCTACAGCCAAAGTACATGTTATAAACAAGCTCTGATGTAACTGCCACCTTTCTTTTTTTATTTTTTTTTTCCAAAGCCTGAACAGGAAGAAGACCAAAGCAATGTGTAACTTCCTCCTGGTGTAGAATGTGAGTATCAAAACACCTCTCTAGCTAACAGAAGCTGCAGCAGCATTCTCTGTACACAAGCTCTCCAACACAGATGGGCTGTGCTGGCAGCTCCACGCACTCAGCGAGAGGCCCAGCGGAAGAACCCAGTTGCTCCCACTGGCTGCTGTACAGAACTGGCAGCACAGAAATAACACCAGCTCTGCCCAGCACAGGTAGCACAAACACAACTCTGACCACCAAGGCTGCTCTGCACCCTTGTCCTCACAATCCCACTGCTCCTCTGGGCACAAGTGATGCCCAAGCATCTCTGGACTGCAGGACTACAGCAAGGACTACCCCTCTCTTCCACAGCTACACAGGAACAGCACTATGGAATTCAGTTTAGCTCGCTGTTTTTTGTGCCTGTACATTATAAGCAGTAGTAATCCCCAATTCCTCTGCTACAGAAAGTGTTTTACTTGAGCAGGGCTCGAGCACAGCTGCTGCTTTCCCTTCCCCCTCACCCGCCCATCACACAGGGGAACCCTGCAAGACAATGAGCTAACCTTTTCCTTGCTTTCCATTCAAAGAACTCCAAACGGTGCCCTAGTTATCCACTTAGAGGTATTGCATTCCCTAAAGATCAGCAACACAGATGGGGATGGGGCTGAATCCAAAAGGTTTTGGCTTAAACCTTAAAATGGAAGGCCCTCCTGTACATCCCTTCCGTCCTACCCTTGGATTGCTTCACACTGCTTTTCTTATAAAATACATCTGGAATAAAATAGACCATTTTTACATATATATAAAAATACCAATTCGATTACTGGGCAGGAGGGACTCACCCTGGCAGTATTGCTTACACTTGTCACAAGGAAAGATTTCAAGTTTCAGACCCATGATCCAATAAAAGCACCCAAACAAGAATTTGGAGCCTCAGTGCCCGAAATACTGTGGTGAGTAACACAGGCAGCAATCTGAGAGCAGGTCTCACCCAGCCTGAGCTCTTTTGGAGCATCTGCTTAGAGAACAGCTGCTGCTGTGTGCACACATGTTACCCCAGCTCGAGCCTCTGCACAATCCCCAGAGCAACTGTGCCACCAGTGACAGACTGGGACAGACCCTGCAGGTTCCCGGGCTGCCTCACAGGCCAGCAACAACACGGGCTCGCTGCTTGTTCTGCCCCCTCGCAGCCGAGTTCAACATACAAGAGGCCATTTCAGGTAACACTGTATCAAACCTTCACTCTTGGGATTTTCTCCTTTCCAAGTTCTCAGCCCTGTGTTATCCGAGGACACAAAAATTTTGACAAAAATCTCCTAGAAAGCCTTTGTGGCTCAGTAAAAACCCCAACTGCCAAGAGCAAGAGCCAGTGGCCAGACTGAGCCGTGCACACTGATATACCATGACTGATAACACCCTTATAAAACAGCCAAAGCAGCAGTTTTCTCTGCCATCGTGTCTCTGTGCTCGAGTGCACTGGGATTATTCCTACTCAATCCACATTCTGCAGGCTTCTGCTCCTGCCACAAGCTGCAGCAGCAAAGGTCAGAACCTGGCTGTCCCCTCGTTATCCTGACAGGGACGGCCACTGCACCGTCCCAGAGACCACAAGCAGCCTGAGATGATGATAGGAGCGCTCTGCAGGGGGTTTAAAATAGCCCGAGAGAGCGTAAACAGCCAGCCATGATTGCCGAAGCAGTTACACCGAGACACCCACAGCAGCTCCGAGGGCTCCTTCAGCCTGTAGCTTCACGCCCATCCAACTTCCAAAGCATCTGGGCTGCTACAACAGGCAGATTGATTTCCCTCCCCATACGCTGTTTAGTGGAAATGCTGCCTCCAGCCCCAGCATCTCCCTCTCCTCCACAGCCACCACACTCACTCCACTGAAACTCTCTTTGCAGAGCTCACACAAAACTGCTTTGGTGATGGTCTTGCTACTTCCCAAGGCTTTGAAGACTCTCACAGCCCTACAGAGTCCCCATTATCTCTCAGGGTTCTTTATGTTGAAAAGCAGCATGAGGAGTCAGTCCACAAGCACCCAACGTTAACAAAGACTCCACACATCCAGCTTTTCTGCTGTCACAAACCAGCCTGGAAATGCAAGTGCTCTCACAATGTTGACTCCTGACCCTCAGCATGCACTGAACCACAACCAAGCAGCTTTCCTGATTTACCTCACCCAAGATTCACCCTCCCCACAACAGCCCTGCACTGCCTATATGTGTCCAGCCCCCCACAGCCACATTTACCCTATTTAGCATCCACTGCTGTCCCCCAGGCCTATGAACCCACTGCTGAGGAGTAAGAGCTCTTCCAAAGCACCTGTGGGCACACAAACACCGTGGAAGAGTTTCCACAATGCCCTGAGGACCACTAAAGTAAGGGACAGAACACTTGCAGAGAAGCAAGACTCAGCTGGAACACAGTTTCTTTATGTAACTCACTACCAGATCCACAGCTGGAAAACCCAACAGTCTAAAATCACACTCCAAACACCTCCCTTCCCAGGGCTACCTATTCCACAAGCATAAGTAAGGCTTCAAGCTCTCCTCCATTTTCTTCTCCACCTGAGCTTTAACCTGATCAGTAGGACACATGAAGCTTCACAAAGCCTCCAAGGTAACCTACAACCAAAGCAGAGATGTTAACACAGACCCAACACTACACACAAAACTAAACAGAGCTACAGAGTGAGCTGTGAGGTGGTGGGTTTACAGCTGGTTCTAGGTAAAAAATAATTTACATAGTGATCAAGAGGAGAAACACTATGGAAGGGCTGTTTGCTACACCTGAACCTTGTACAGACTCCAAACTGACAGCTACACAATTTGCAGGGAAAAGGATACAAACTCCCTGCCTGAGTCACCAAGGTAATACAAGTGGACTGCAATTACCGTCGAGGGTTTTTTCCTGGTAAAAGACACTGATGGATCAAGCAAACATTGTCCTAAGACAGCAATGGACTGGGCAGCAGTGTTTTTCCAAAAAGCCAGGACACGGAGCACGGCGCAGCTCCCGCTCCAGGAGAAGGCAAGCTCGCAGCTTTCCCTACCAGCCTGCGGGATGACTCAGGCTGTAGAACAGCGCTGGCTCCATTAAAAGAACAAACCACACTGCTGTATGACAGGTTTAGTGCGCTCAGCTGCCCGACACCGCGATCCTTGTCGCTGCTGAAGGAGGCAGAGGAGCCCTTGGCCACGGGGCTCCGAGACGAGCCACGCCGGAACTTCCAGCGCGGGCCACGCTGCGCTCCTCGGGGCGCCTTCCTCCGGCCGGGCCGGGCCGGGCCCCGCGGAGCCGCAGCAGCTGCCGGGGCCGCCGCCACCTCCGGCCCGGCCCCGCCGCCGGCGCCCCCTCGCGGCCCCGGCTCGGGGGCCACGTTGCTCCGGAGGGGCCCGGCCGCGGTGGAGCCCCGCGGGCAGGCCCGGCCAGGCCCCCCTCGAACAAAGCGGCCGCGGCCCCCGGGAGCGGCCCCAGCGCTGCCGCCCGGCCCGAGCCCCGCGGGAGGGAACCCGGGCGGGCCCGGCCCGGCTCGGCCTGCCCGCCCCCCCCACTGCAGGCCCGGGGCCGGGCCGGGTTATATAAGGCGAACGGGCCAGGGGGAGCGGGGCCGTGCGGGGCCGGGCCGGCTCGGCCCTTACCTTGTGGATTCTCTTCAGCGCCATTGTGTGCGCGAGGCGGCGGCAGGAGGGGCGCGGGCGGAGGGAGGGGGCGGCCCGCGGGACTATTTGCGAGGGGAGGGGGGGAGGAGGAGGAGCGCGGAGGTGGCGGCTGCGCGGGGAGGGGACGGGGAGGGACGAAGCGAGCGGAGGGGCGGGAGGGGACCGGGGCCCCCCGGGGCGGCGGGGCCGGGGCCTGGCCGGTGTCGGGCGATGGCGGCCGCGGGCTCAGCGCTGCCGCAGCTCCTCCGTTCCCTCCGCCGCCACCGCCGCTTTATGCGCTGCCTCCGCGCCGTCCGCAGCGGATCACTCCGCCACACCGCCGCCGCCGCTGCCCCCGGGCACCGCTCCGGTTCCCGGGGCGGAGACACCGCCGTGGCGGGGAGGGGAAGGAAGGGAGAGGCCAGGACAGGAGCGGCGGGAGGAGGAGGAGGAGCAGGAGGGGGAGGAGAGGGCGGGGAGCTGCGGGGACTATTTGTCGTGCCGGCCGCCGTGCAGAACTCTCCAGAAGGGGGAGGGGGAGCGCGCGGAAGGATACGGCAGCGGCGTGAGAGCGCGCGCGCGCGAGGCGGCCGCCGCGGCGCGTGACGCCACAGCGCGTTCTCTCGCGAGAAGACGGGACGGGAAAAAGTCCCGGCCGAGCCGGCCCCGAGACTGAGGGGACGGGACCGGCCTGAGGGGACCGGACGGGTTCGGGAGGGCAGGACTGGCCTGAGCTCCCCCCGGCCCCAGTTCTCCACCCCCCTGCCCCTTATGGAGCCGCCCGGCCCCAGCGAGGAGGCCCCCAGGCCCTGTCCCGGGCAGGCCGGGAGCGCACTTGGGGCAGGCAGAGCCCTCTTGGAGCACTTGAGGGGCCGCAGCCGTGATTGGCTTGTCCTGATGGAGCTTGTGGGCCTTGGGTGGCCCTGGGAAGCACAACTCACGTTAAATGGCACTGAAACACCGCTGGTGACAGTGTCCCTGCTCCTTCCTGTGCCCAGGTGGGGTTGAGAGTCCCTGGTGCTGCCTCTGGGCCATGGTGGGCTGTTCTCATGCTGACTTTGCTGCCAGCCTTCTGTGAGACTTCAGCATTTCTGGAGGCTGTAACACAGGGTGTATTTTGAATTAATTTCTTCTCCCTCCACATTTGTTACAGAGAAAATAAACCAAAAATTCATAAAAATGGCTCTCTGGGTGGGTTTGGTTGTTTTTTGTTTGGTTGGGGGTTTTTGGTTTTTGGGGTTTTGGTTTTTTTTTTTTTTTTGTTTTTGTTTTTTTTTTTTTCAATTACTTTGGTTCATCTTGTGGCTTCCTGTTCTTTTCTTTCGCTTTTCTTTCTTTCCTTTTCATTTTGGGCATTCCCTGATTGCCAAATTCCAGACAAGCCAGCACAGCTCATTGATCTGATGACAAGGCAACACACCCTTCATCCTGGCCACAGCACTGGGAAGGCTCAAACACTAATCCCAAGCAGTCCTGGCTCCTAAAGCCAATACAGGGTTGGGGTAAAAGTGCTTTTCTTCCAGCATTTTCTGCTTTCCTTTTGTATGGCCCAGCCAATGCCTGATCCCCATCACTGGAAGTGAATCCCAGATTCCTTTTATGGGAGATGCTCCTGTGGTCCCTGAGGGCAGCACAGCCCCTGGCTCACACCTGGCTGGGCAAACATCGTGGCTGGGGCCGTGTTCCAGGGCACAACAGGCTTCTCACCCCTTGGGAACATCTCTGGAACCTTTTCCTGTTTCTGAGGCAGTTTTCCAAGTCAGCCAAGATGAAAGTAACCTTTTTCTAGCATTCACAGGAGAAGTGTTGGATTCTGTCCCCAGGAGGAGATAGAAAAGTGGTTTGGTTGTGGTTCTGATACCAGGGATAATGAAGACCTGCTGTTTGCTGCCAGCTGCATGCAAACTGCTCCACCAGATAAGATATGAAAGCAGGAAAGTCATTTTCATCATGGTTTTTCACAAGGTAACAGCCAATACATCCAGGAATGGCATTTCACAGAATCTCAGAATCACAGACTGGCTTGGATTGGATGAGATCTTAAAGATCATCCCAGTCCCACCCCCTGCCTGGGGCAGGGACACCTTCCTCTGTCCCAGGGTGCTCCCAGCCCTGCCCAGCCTGGCCTGGGACACTGCCAGGGATCCAGGGGCAGCCCCAGCTTTTCACACCCCCCTCACAGCATTTGAGGAGTTTCTACCTGCAGCTTCCTCCCTTCTGTCTCCCAGGGCCAGAGCTGCTCCTGCAGCCCCTGTGGGTGTGACTGTCCCTATCCTGGGGACACTGCTGTGCCTGAGCTCCAAAGGGAGCTGCTGAGGGATCTGCTGTCTGCACCTGCCAGCACCATCCCATGCCAACATCTCCTGCTCCCAAGCACCCAAGCATCACTGCAGGAGTTCTCTGAGCTCTGCCTTGTCCTCAGGTGGCTCCTGTCTCTATGTGCCTTTCCTTCACCAAATCCCTCTGATGAGCTCTGCAGGGTCAAGTTGCAGTTCTGTATTAGGGGAAAAAACTCCTGAAGGGCTTAGGGAAAGGTACAAGGATTTAATGGAATAGAAACTTCCCAGCCAAGCTGATTAAATCTAGTTATTTCAGGCTTTGATAACTTATGAGGCCTTGGTTAGAGGGTGCAAAAAAGTCACTCTAAAGGAGGAGAGACACAACTGGAAAAGGAGAAACTTCCAATGTTGGACAAGATTCAAAGAAAAGTGAAAACTCCCAGAGAAAAAGGACCAGGAGCAGCCTCTGTCCCAAAGGTGCTCTGGCCAGCAGTACCACCCCAGTCATGGAATCATGGAATGGTTTGGGTTGGAAGGGACTGGAAGCTCATCATGTTCTAATGCCAGCCTGTGAGAGCTCCAAAATGAGTAAAAATGGTTTTTCTACCCAACATGTAAGTGGGGAATCAGTGCCACAGGAGCCTGCAAGTGCTGGCAGCTGACAGAAATCACAGATTGGTCCACTGACATCTCTTAAATTCAAACTCTCTTTCTCCTGGGAAGGTTCTGGTGCTCCAAAAGAAGGCAGAACCTCAGTGGGTGAGGGGTGTGCAGCACTCAGAGCAGCAGGGATGGAGGGAGGCTCCATTCTGCCACCAGGACTTGAAACTCATCATTGCTGAGGGCTCCAGGCTGGGGTCAGGCTGAGGCAAAGCAGCCTGGGCACATCCCTGGGAAAGGCTGCACATCCCTGGGAAGGCAGCACATCCCTGGGAAGGCAAAGGCAGCACATCCCTGGGAAGGCAGCACATCCCTGGGAAGGCTGCACATCCCTGGGAAAGGCTGCACATCCCTGGGAAAGGCTGCACATCCCTGGGAAGGCAAAGGCTGCACATCCCTGGGAAGGCTGCACATCCCTGGGAAAGGCTGCACATCCCTGGGAAGGCTGCACATCCCTGGGAAGGCTGCACATCCCTGGGAAAGGCTGCACATCCCTGGGAAAGGCTGCACATCCCTGGGAAAGGCTGCACATCCCTGGGAAAGGCAAAGGCTGCACATCCCTGGGAAGGCTGCACATCCCTGGGAAAGGCTGCACATCCCTGGGAAAGGCTGCACATCCCTGGGAAAGGCAAAGGCTGCACATCCCTGGGAAAGGCTGCACATCCCTGGGAAAGGCACCACATCCCTGGGAAAGGCTGCATATCCCTGGGAAGGCAAAGGCTGCACATCCCTGGGAAAGGCTGCACATCCCCGGGAAAGGCTGCATATCCCTGGGAAGGCAAAGGCTGCACATCCCTGGGAAAGGCAGCACATCCCTGGGAAAGGCTGCACATCCCTGGGAAAGGCTGCACATCCCTGGGAAAGGCTGCACATCCCTGGGAAAGGCAAAGGAAACACATCCCTGGGAAAGGCTGCACATCCCTGGGAAAGGCAGCACATCCCTGGCAAAGGCAGCACATCCCTGGAAAGGCTGCACATCCCTGGGAAAGGCTGCACATCCCCGGGAAAGGCTGCACATCCCTGGGAAAGGCTGCACATCCCTGGGAAAGGCAAAGGCTGCACATCCCTGGGAAAAGCTGCACATCCCTGGGAAAGGCTGCACATCTCTGGGAAAGGCTGCACATCCCCGGGAAAGGCTGCACATCCCTGGGAAAGGCTGCACATCCCTGGGAAGGTAAAGGCTGCACATCCCTGGGAAAGGCTGCACATCCCTGGGAAAGGCAAAGGCTGCACATCCCTGGGAAAGGCTGCACATCCCTGGGAAGGCAGCACATCCCTGGGAAGGCAAAGGCTGCACATCCCTGGGAAAGGCTGCACATCCCTGGGAAGGCAAAGGCTGCACATCCCTGGGAAGGCAAAGGCTGCACATCCCTGGGAAGGCAGCACATCCCTATGTGGGCTCTGTGAGCCAAGGTCAGGGCCCTGCAGAATCTGGAGGCCAAGGGGGAAATTCCCAAATCCTCCCTGGCCCCCTTGGCTGCCCCCTCCTTTGTCCCACAGCTGAATGCTGGGACAAGAAGCTTGTCCAACGAGCATTTGGACAATGCTCTCAGGCACTGGGTGGGATTCCTGGGGCTGTCAGGAGCTGGGCTTGATCATCTTTGTGGGTCCCTTCCAATTCAGGACACTCCATGATTCTGTGGAAGTGCTTGGCTCACTGAATGAGAAACAATGGATGCTTAGGAGGTCCAGGAAGCTTCAGAAGCTTCTTCTGCTGCTACCAGATCTCCTGCAGCACACTGTGGCTCCTCACTGCACCAGGAAGTCTGGCCTGGTTCACACAGCCCAAGGCCACACAGAATATTGCAGAGCACTTTATTTTTGCTATTTTGTGTCAGTAAAGCAGCCCTGTCACACGGGACCTCTGAGGGACACTGCTGGTGCAACTGCAGCACTAAAAACACCGACTGCAGCACTTTTAGTCAAGGGACCAAAGCCACTTTTGACACCAGCCTGGCACTGGAACCCCATCCCTGCAGGTATCCCCAGGGAAAGCTGTCACTGGGCAGCCTGCCCTCAGCATGAAGCCAGCAGCTCTACCTGCTTCCCCAGACAATGGAAAACAAGGGAATTAAAGGAAGGAAGTGCTGCTGCCGTGCCCATCCTGCAGCAGAGCCAGCTCTGTCACACTGCTGCTGCTGCCTGCTCACAGCCCTTCACCCAGGGGGTGCCAGGGAGAACACCCTGCTCCTGGCCTGCCTTATGGCTGGGGACATGCCACAGGTATCCAGCCTCTACTGGGGGCAAGTCTGGGCACCACAATATGAGAAACAGCATCCAAAGAGGGACACGAGGATGGTGAAGGGTCCCCCGGAGCAGCTGAGGGCACTTGGCCTGTCCAGCTGGAGCACAGGACACTGAGGTCAGACCTCCCCAGGGGCTGCAGCTCCGATCTCTGCTCCCTGGGGCCAGGGACAGCACTCAGGGTAATGGCTGGACCAGTGTTAGGGGGATTTAGTGTGGATATCAGGAAAAGGTTCTTCCCCTAGAGGGTGGTGGAACACTGACCAGGCTCCCCAGGGAATGGTCCCAGCCCCAGGGCTGCCAGAGCTCCAGGAGTGTTTGGACAACACTCTCGGGGATGGGATGGGATTGTTGGGGTGTCTGTGCAGGGCCAGGAGTTGGACTGGATGGT